ACTTGCTTGAACCCAGGAGTTGGAGGTTGCTGTGAGCTGTGATGCCATAGCACTCTACCCAGGGGGATAGCTTGAGGCTCTGTCTCAAAAAAAGAGAGAGAGAGAGATTTGCAGGTCTGAAAGAAAGCCTGCTGTCAAATTGTCTGCCATATCAAAAGGGCACTATGGAAAAGTGTAGTAGCAAAGAATCACTTAGATTTTTAAATGAGCACATTTGCTCATTACAGTCACAAGCTGCAGTGCTATATGGAAAAGATTAAGAACTGGGATTCTTTCCTATCATCTTTATCCAAATCAGCTTTGATTTTCCTTTCCAATAAATAATATTGGTAATTGTTTTTAATGGAATCTACTATATTTGCTTAATTAAACATATTTTTGTAACAAGACACTTTCATGATGTGAATGAAATATGTAGCCATTTTTTCCCCAGAGCATCATACATACCATCATCAGTTTCTGAACAGATTTTAGGAGTCACTTCCAAACCTGTTTCACTTACATAGTGGGTACATGACAACACAGCAGTTCATATTGGCTGTGATTAAATAAAATAAAAATAGTAAAAATGAGGTTTACATAGAGTAGTATGTGAACAAAGCGATAAGAAATGTAAAGCATCCTTTTGCAGTCATGATCTGCTAAGTCTTTTCAGACTTTCAGTGAAGGTATTTCACCCTTTACTCTCTTTGGGAAGACAAGCATTAGGAGTCAGGAATTCATATTTAGATCTTGAACATAAAAAAGTCACAGTTTGTCATAAAGAAAATGAATTCACTACAGATAGAACTGATTCTCTTCATATATGGTTCTATGATAAAGTAATTGGGTTCTATTTGATCAATAGAGTATTATGTTCATGATAGTGCTTTTTACATTGAATGGTCATAATGTTCTACTTTATTCTTGGTGCATAAACAGCTAACTGATATCATTCCCTGTGGGAATGGTAAGACATGTACAGGTTGTGTTGGCATAGTGTAATAGTTGAGGAACTGAGTAATTTAGCAATAAATATTTTTGCCAACAAGGTAAGATATATATTCTAAATCCGTGGGTTTGGTATTTTCATCTTCTTTTATTCTATAAATCTTTTCTAATTCTTTCAAATTGTACCTAAACCATCAATAAAGTTACTTGCATCTTCCTTAACATACTATTTTTTAATATTTTAAAATAAAGATTATGTTTATTTATTTATTTTTTTTTTTTTTTACTTTTGAGACAGAGCCTCAAGCTGTCTCCCTGGGTAGAGTGCTATGGTATCACAGCTCACAGCAACCTCCAACTCCTGGGCTCAAGCGAGTCTTCTGCCTCTGTCTCCCAAGTAGCTGGGACCACAGGCACCCGCCACAATGCCTGACTATTTTTTGGTTGCAGCCATCATTGTTATTTGGTGGGCCTGGGCTGGATTTGAACCCGCCACCTTAGGTGTATGTGGCTGGCGCCTTAGCCACTTGAGCCACAAGCACCAAGCCAAGATCATGTTTATATATAAAAATTACTTACTTAAAACTTTTTTGCATAACGTAGATTAAAAAAATTTTTTTAAAATCTTCTTCTATAATAAATGAGATTCTATCTAAAATGAAGAAAAGCACACCAGGCTGCTTTATTTTTCCTAAGTACTCTTTGTAGGTTGTTGCAGGGACTTTAATGTTTATACTAGTAATTTGTAAATGATCTACATGTGCTTCTCTAATATTGTCTCACTCAAAAATATAATTAAAGAACATCTGAAAAACAGAAAGTAAATATATTAACAATTGTAGCATTATTCAGGATTTATTTTTCTTTCTTTCTTGAGAAAACCTACTGGGAGATGAAGGAAAACCTCTGTTTGGAGCACTTCAAAATAGGCAGGTATGTATGTTCCAGCAGGGTACATGTAACTCATGGTATGCTTATTTTTTCCTTCTTTTTGGGAGGGCCGGGGGAGGATTCCATGGTTAACTTACAAGTTCTTTACAGATCTTGAGCTGAGTGTGGTAGTACACACCTTTAATCTCAGCTACTCAGGAGTCTGAGGTCGAAGGATCACTAAGGCCAGGAGTTTGAGGCTGTATAGTGCTATAATCATGTATATGAATAGCTACTACACTCTAGCCTGAGCAACAGTGAGACTGTCTCTCAAAAATTTTCTTTTGTTACATTATTTTTATAAAGATTAGCAGAATTCTGTAGGGAAAAAAGGAGCTGCTTCAGTCTTACAGGAAGCTGAATGACCAGTGGTGTGCACTTTGCAGAGATTATTTAATATAGACGTTTATTCTATTTATTTATTTACAGTTCTCACAATTTAATTAATATGGGAGTTTAAATTCACACAGATTTCAGGTGATACTTGATTACTTTTTCTCCCTTGTTCTTTATTGCAAATAACAATCCTGTTGTCTTCTGTGTTTTCCCCCCTTATACAATGTAGATCGTTAATGCCAGTTTAACCTGTAGATAAGTCATCATACTGAGTTCAAGAATAAAACTAAGCTATCTTTGATGGCCAGCACCAGTATAATAGTTGGGGCTACAGGCACCCACCACAATGCCTGGCTATTTGCTCAGTAGAGACAAGGTCTCGATTTTGCTCAATCTGGTCTCAAACTCCTGAGCTCAAGCAATCCGCCCACCTCAGCCTCCCAGAGTACTAGGATTAGGTGTGAGCCAACATGCCCAGCCAAAAATTTTTATAGGTATTAAGATATTATATTGCTGGGCATGGTGGCTCATGCCTATAATCATAGCACTCTGAAAGGCCAAGGTAGCTGGTTCACCTGAGCTCACAAGTTCAAGACCAGCCTGAGCAATGAGTGAGACCCTATCTCTACTAAAAATAGAAAAACTAGCTGGATATTGAGGCTGGTGCCTATACTCCCAGCTAATGGGAAGGCTGAGGCAAGAGGATTACTTGAGTTCAAGAGTTTGAGGTTACTGTGAATTATGATGGCACTCTAATTAAGGTGACAGACTGAGACTGTCTAAAAAAACAAAAAAAGGAATGTTGTCATTTGCTTGCAAGAATATAAAATAATGAGTCTATAGCTAATTCTGATAGACTAGAATTGGGTTTTACAATAAATGACTTAGGTCTGTCATCTTTCCTTATCTTTTTATCTTCCCCTTTCTTATAATCTAGCATAATGGTCTGAAAGCATTAATGCAGTTTGCAATTGCACAGAGGATCACCTGTCCCCAGATCCTGATACAGAAACATCTGGTTCGTCTCCTGTCAGGTAGAGTCTTCTCTGAGTTATTACTGTGTTATTATTTATGTGTACTATTTCTTTATGTGTATTATTATGTGTATTATTATTTAATAATAATTATTATTATTTATGTGTATTATATTATGTGTATTATTTCTGGCAGTGTATTTCATTAGCAAACAATGCAGTGCGCTAATTTTGAGCACTCACTAATAAAATATTGCTACCTATATTAGCTTTGAAAAAGTAAATAAATTCCTACCTGTCCCTGTAATACTTGTAATCTTATTTTTAAAATCTGGTATTTTCCAAATGTTTTCAACTTAATGTTCCTTCTACACACCTAGGCTATTGGGTCAATATCAACAACTACTAACATTCATGTATCCCCAGTCTGGTTAGAAAAGGGAGCAATTGTGTGGATAGATAATTTTAAAGTATGTTTAATTTTGTTGGTGTATCAAGTCACGTAAAATAATAGAAATTGTAAGTGTAGTATTCTTACGACTCAGACCCATGCCTCCTTCTTTAAGAGGCAGGCTATAACAGCTAGTTTTCTAACAATTTCCTAAATTGTTAGAATCTAGAAAAAATCTAGAAATTTACTAAGAAGACATATGGTGCTCTCATTTAACATAAGGATAAAAAGGAGGTTAAGAGGTTACATGGGAGTAGAATGATTTTGCCTTCATTTTAGTTTGAAATCTACCGCAAAGCTCCTCTAAACCCAAACAAGTCAGCCTTAAAAAGGGCAATTTGCAAATCTGTTTCTTCAGAAGTCCAAATGTCATTGGGGGGGGGGGGTTAGCTTATTTCTCAGGTATATTTCTACCAAATAAGGGAGTTATTCAGGTTTAAAGCTTTAAAAGCCAGGAGTAGTCTTCTAGCTGAACTAGCAGGCGTTTTTTTCCAACAAAATAAATCAATTTTTTTACTTTGAAAATCTATTCAAACAGATAACTTTACTCCTTGTCAGTTTTCTACCAGCTTCTTAGGTAGCTCTTCCGAAGCAGCTTTCTGCTCCCTCTCTTGGTGTGGAGATTCTACAGCTCCATCCAAGGCTGCAACCCAGATTCATTAGCACTTTCACCATTGTTTTTTAATTTTTTGGCATCCTTTTCCATTTGTCATAATTCAGATGCATTGTTTTACTCATTCTTCCAAATAGTCTCACCACTTTTGTACTTAGCACATATTATGGGACTTATAATGTGAAATACACCTCAAAATAAACATTAAAATAACATTATCTTACCTGGGTGAGGTAGCTCACACCTGTAATCCTAGTACTCTGGGATGCTGAGGTAGGTGGATTGCCTGAGCTCAGGAGTTTCAGACCAGCCTGACCAAGAGTGAGACCCCATTTCTAAAAATAGCCAGGAGGGTACCTGTAGTCCCACCTACTTGGAAGGCTGAAGCAAGCGGATTGCTTGAGCCCAGGAGTTTGAGGTTGCTGTGAGCTATGACAACACAGCACTTGACCAAGGGCAGCAAAGTGAGACTCTGTCTCAAAAAAAAAAAAAAATCCTAGATGGCCCAGACTAAAATGATAATATATAATCTCTAATTAGCAGTAACTGATGGAATTGATGTGGGTTTTGCTATGTAATGTAGCTTTGTGCCTATACTGTATATGAAAGTTTTTCATATAAAAATTCATGAGCAGGGGGCGGTGCCTGTGTCTCAGTGAGTAGGGCGCCACCAGCCCCGTATACCAAGGGTGGTGGGTTCAAACCCAGCCCCGGCCAAACGGCAATAAAAAAAATAGCTGGGCAATGTGGTGAGTGCCTATAGTCCCAGCTACTTGGGAGTCTGAGGCAAGAGAATCGGCTAAGCCCAAGAGCTGGAGGTTGCTGTGAGCTATGATGCCACAGCACTCTACCAAGGGTGACAAAAAAATAAAAAAGTTTATGAGCAGGAGTATTAAGGCTGTAGACTGTATAATAAGGTATAGTATAAGATACAGTCCTTCCCATTATAATGCTTATGAATGAATTTAAGAACCTCTATGGAAACACACTTTATAAAATAGTCAAATGCCATATGTGTGCCCCACAAATAATGTGCTTCAAAAGATAACTGTGGGCCTGTGCTGTTATCTCCTTTAACTTGCAGTAGGATTTGAATTAACCTTGAAGGCAGGGTACATGATAGGCAAGTTGGAAGGAACAAAGACAGTATGCCAAGGGTACTTTTAAGTAAAGGTTGAGGAGATAGGAGAGTGTGTGGTATATTCATAATAGACAAGTTCAATAGGAGTGGTGGCATCTATAGATAGACAGGCATGAAGTTACTTGATGAAAATATAGGCTCTTAAATGCCCCAGAGAAAAATTTGAACTTTATTCTTTAGGGAATTTTTGGAAACTTCAGTCATAGCATTCTGGAGTTAATTTGATATTGATAGGTTAGATTGAAGGAAGGAAATATTAGGAATAATATGTATATCTGAATGTAATAATTCAAATAGTCTTTATTCAATATTTTGAACTAAAAATAGTAACAGAAAAAATGAGAGAAATAAGTCCAGAATACAGAGCTATTTTGTTGTTTTTTTTGAGACATAGTCTCACTATATTGCCCTTGGTAGAGTGCTGTAGCATCATAGCTCACAGCAACCTCAAACTCCTGGGCTCAAGTGATTCTCTGGTCTCAGCCTCCCAAGTATGTGGGACAACAGGTGCCTGCCACAACACCCAGCTATTTTTAAAAAGGGGGTCTCACTCTTGCTCAGGCTGGTTTCAAACTCCTATGCTCAAGCAATTCACCCATCCCAGCCTCCCAAGGTGCTTGGATTATAGGTGTGAGCCACCACACGTAGGCTCTACAGGGCTATTTTGAACAGTTTTTAACTAGTTTAACAAACTGACTTTGTCTAAGTAGCATCTTCTCTGCCTCACTTTAAAAAATAACAGCTTTACTGAGATATAATTCTCGAATTTTCCCCCCTCATTTATATATGTATATAAAACCATGTCTGTTGTCTTGAGTTCTTGATTTCATTTCTTTGCCCCTCTTTCCTTGACTTCAGGATTTATTGTTTTTCCTTAGAGATGGGCCAGATAATAAAAGTGATAGCTTTTGAGCTATCTGGATTTCTTCCAGATCATCAATCCACATAAACTATCTAATTTTTTTCAGGAGGATCTTCTCTTTCCTCATCTTAACCACCCTGCTTTGCATATTCTCTTTTGTTCCCCACCCCAAATTTGTTCACATATATGTATTACAGAACATTCAGAAATGTGCAGTTGGGGGAAAAAAGCGATAGAGGGAGCTTTGCATAAAAGTAATTCTTCTTAGTTATTCAGCAAGTATTTCTTGAACCATCTCTACTTCACTTATGCTACTCCACATAACTTTTCCTCCCGCATCTTATCTTTCAGCCCTTAAATTATATCCCAAGTTTCTATGGACCTTTTCTCAGTTCAAATTGTCTTTCGTTATTATTGCTGTATCTTAGAGGTGTGATATACTAGTTTCTGTATTTTATAACTCTATGATATGTTCATTTTAGATGTATTTCACATGCGTTTTATTTATCTACATTGCTATCTTACTGACTGAATGATATTAACTGTTTGTTTCAGTTGTTCTGCCTAACCTAAAATCGGAAGATACACCATGCCTTCTATCTGTAGATCTGTTTCATGTTTTGGTAAGTGATCAGAAACTTTTTTAAGTCACTCAAGTTTATAATTCCATGTGTTTTCCTCATTCAAATTCAAACTGTCTTCAAGATTATAAATCGTTGGCTTGGCGCCTGTGGCTCAAGCGGCTAAGGCGCCAGCCACATACACCTAAGGTGGCGGGTTCAAATCTCCAGGGGCCCACCAAACAACAATGATGGCTGCAACCAAAAAATGGCCAGGCACTGTGGCGGGCGCCTGTAGTCCCAGCTACTTGGGAGGCTGAGGCAGGAGACTCGCTTGAGCCCAGGAGTTGGAGGTTGCTGTGAGCATGATGCCATGGCACTCTACCCAGGGGGATAGCTTGAGGCTCCATCTCAAAAAAAAAAAAAAGATTATAAATTGTTGGTGCTTAGCATATAAAGTTTGGTTTCTTCTGTTCATTTTGTTTACAAATAGGTACAGATTTGACAGAGACCTTCAAATTCACTTTAAAAATGAAAGCTCATTTACTTTTTCTTTGTAATAGCCTATTGATATTAGTTGGTGTCTGTACAAGCAAGCTTTTTCTAATTCATATTATCCTTCCTCCTCCATTCCTACCCTCACTGGTGCATTTTCTTCTTTACATTATAAGCAGAGAGTGACAGTGTGAGCTGTCTTTAAGTTATTTGGTGATAGGGACCAGAGCATGGATGCATATAGACTTCCCCAAAACAGGTATGCATGGATGGCAGATGTTTTGTGAGTTTCTTACAGAGCTTTTCCATCCCTGTGATGGTATCATTTCTTCAAACTGAGTTCTGCGGGCAGCACCTGTGGCTCAAAGGAGTGGGGCACCAGTCCCATATGCTGGAGGCGGTGGGTTCAAACTGAGTTCTGTAGAGAAAGCAGTGGTGGGGCTGGGAGCATAGAGTTTATGGATACAAGCTTAGTCAGCATCCCCAGCCTTCATTATCCAGGCCTCTGTCCAGTGGTTGTCAACCCTCACTGTCTTTTGGACTCTCCTGGGGAGCTTTGAAAAGAATATAGGAAACTGGGTCCTACTCACAAAGATTCTGGTTTGGTTAGATTGGAGTGAGCCCTATGTATCAAGTGTTATTTTAAGAGTTCCCTGATGATTATATTATCGAATCTAAGGAACCACACTGTTGAGAACCACTACATAGACCTAGAATATGTAGACCAAGCAAAAGGAGCACCTGTTTGGTGGTGATCTTTGTCCTCCATTTCTTTCTTTCTTTCTTTTCCTTTCTTTTCCTTTCCTCTTTCTTTCTTTTCTTTTCTTTCTTTTCTTTTCTTTCTTTCTCTCTCTTTTTTTTTTTTTTGAAGACAGAGTCTCACTTTGTTGCCCTGGGTAGAGTACCAGCTCACAGCACCCTCAAACTTTTGGGCTCAAGTGATTCTCTTGCCTCAGCCTCCCAAGTAGCTGAGACTACAGACGCCTGCCACAACACCCAGCTATTCTTTGTTGCAGTTGTCATTATTGTTTAGCTGGCCCAGGCCAGGTTTGAACCCACCACTGGTGCCATAACCACTGTGCTGTGGATGCTGAGCCTGTCCTCCATTTCTGATACATTATATTCTAAGATATTCTACTGAATGACTAGGACAAATATTGTGGTTATTTAAAAAAAATAAACACAGTGCAGCATCTGGTGCCCTTCACATTTAGGTATGAGACTAATTTGTATTGGTCTTTTATTGTTACCCATGCTAATATCCATTTTTCTCTCATAGGTAGGTGCTGTGTTATCATTCCCATCCTTGTATTGGGATGACACTGTTGATCTGCAGCCTTCATCAGTTAGTGCTTCCTATAACCACCTTTATCTCTTCCATTTGATCACTATGGCACACATGCTTCAGATACTTCTTACGATAGACACAGGTAAAGCTTCCATCTGGGTGTTGAATTTCTAAGTTGTATGTTATGTCTTTTAAATGATTATCATTTGTTTCTGAATGCTATTTAAATAGGGAAAGGGAGAATAAGATGTGAAAGGGATCATTAGCTGAAACTATTTGGTTCTTTAGTTTTCAGCTGCTCGGCAGAAATGCAGGAGACCACAAATTCCCCATTCTCAAGGTCTTTTCAAGGTTTATTCCTACATAAGTACTCTCATCCCTTTTATGAGCCTGTCCATAAAACCATTCTTGATTCTTCTAGCCAGAGTGATAGCACTGTGTTCACCTTATAGCATTTAACACTTGTTTTATAGTTGTTTGTGGTTATATCTAATTACTCCTGTCCCTGTTTCTCCTTTGTCTCTGCTCTTACACCTCAAGTGTAAGTTTCTTAATGATAGGGAACAATCAGATTTTAAAATCTTCTCTCTTAAGCTTTGAATATCTACCAGTCTTTGTTAAACCCAATAAGTGCTCATTAAATGTTTTTTGAATAAATGTTCCTTTGAAACTGTATGAGTGGCTTGGCGCCTATAGCTCAGCCGGCTAAGGCGCCAGCCACGTACACCTAAGGTGGCGGGTTCGAATCCCCAGCCCGGACCCGCCAAACAACAATGACGGCTGCAACCAAAAAATAGCCGGGCGTTGTGGCGGGCGCCTGTGGTCCCAGCTACTTGGTGCAACCAAAAAATAGCCGGGCGTTGTGGCGGGCGCCTGTGGTCCCAGCTACTTGGGAGGCGGAGGCAAGAGACTCGCTTGAGCCCAGGAGTTGGAAGTTGCTGTGAGCTGTAATGCCACGGCACTCTACCCAGGGGGACAGCTTGAGGCTCTGTCTCAAAAAAAAAAAAAAGAAACTGTATGAGTGATATAAAATTATAGAATTGTGCTATAAATGTCTTTTAGAGTCTGGCTGTTGTTGTTGTTGTTGTTGTTTGAGACAGAGTCTCACTCTGTTGCCCTGGTTAGAGTTCTGTGGCAAAATCCAAAACACCAACTGCTCACAGTATGGAACAACAGAAACTCTTATTTTTTGTTGATGGGAATGCAAAATGGTGGCGTTACTTCGCAAGACAGTTTGGCAAGTTTCTTATCAAACTAAATATACTCTTACCATGTGATCCAGCAGTCATGTTCCTTGGTTTTTACTCAAATGAATTGAAAGTGTTATGTTCACATAAAAACCTGTGCAAGGATGCAGCTTTATTCGCAATTTCTATAATACATAATTGCCCAAACTTGGAAGCACCCAAGATGCCCTTTAATAGACGAGTGGAGAAATAAATTTTAGTACATCTAGGGAATGAAATATTATCCAGTGTTAAAATGAGGCATCAAGCCATGAAAAGATAAAAGAAAAAACTCAAATGCCTGAAATGCCTATCACTAACTGAAAGAAGGCAATCTGAAAAGGCTACGTGCTTTATGAACCTCACTATATAACACTCTGGAGAAGGCAAAACTATGAAGACAGTGAAAAGATTAGTGGGACAGAGCTAAGGGGATGGGGGAGGGATGAATAGGTGGAGCATAGAGGATTTTTAAGGCAGTGAAATGTTCTGTATAATACTACAGTGGTGCATAAGTATCATTATACATTTGTCCAAACCTATGGAATCTATACAGCACCAAAAATGAATCCTAATGTAAACTATGGATTTGGGGTGATAATGATATGGCAATGTAGGTTCATTTATTATAACGAATGTACAACTTTGGTGCTGGATGTTGACAAGTGGGAGAAGTGGTATGTTTATGGGGACAGAGAGTATATGAGAACCCTCTGTACTCCATGCTCAGTTTTACTGTGAACCTAAAACTGCTCTAAAAAGTAAAATTTATGGCTTGGCCCCTGTAGCTCAAGTGGCTAAGGCGCCAGCCACGTACACCCAAGGTGGTGGGTTCGAATCCAGCCCAGGCCCGCCAAACAACAATGACGACTGCAACCAAAAAGTAGCTGGGCATTGTGGTGGGTGCTTGTGGTCCCAGCTACTCAGGAGGCTGAGGCAGGAGACTCGCTTGACCCTAGGAGTTGGAGGTTGCTGTGAGCTATGATGCCATGGCACTCTACCCAGGGGGACAGCTTAAGGCTCCTGTCTAAAAAAAAAAAAAGTAAAATTTATTGATTAAAAATAAACATCTCAGCTCCGTGCCTGTTGCACAGTGGTTATGGTATCAGCCACATACACCAAAGTTGGTGGGTTTGAACCCAGCCTGGGCCAGCTAAACTACAATCACAACTGCACCAAAAAATAGCCGGGCATTGTGGCAGGCACCTATAGTCCCAGCTACTTAGGAGTCTGAGGCAAGAGACTCACTTAAGCCCAAGAGTTTGAGATTGCTATGAGCTGTGACGCCATGGCACTGTACCGAGGGCAACATAGTGATACTCTGTCTCAAAAAATAAATAATAAAATAAATATCTTATTTTATGGGTGTATGCATTGTCAAACTTATCAGTTAAATACCTTAATATTTATACATTTCATGGTATATAAAATTTGCCTCGGCTCGGCGCCTATGACTCAAGCAGCTAAGGTGCCAGCCACATACACCTGGGCTGGTGGGTTCGAATCCAGCCCGGGCCTGCCAAACACTGACATCTTTAACCAAAAAAAAAAAAAAAAAAAATAGCCAGGCGTTGTGGCGGGCGCCTGTAGTCCCAGCTACTTGGGAAGCAGAGGCAGGAGAATCGCTTAAGCCCAGGAGATGGAAGTTGCTGTGAGCTGTGATGTCACAGCACTCTACCCAAGGCGACAGCTTGAGGCTCTATCTCAAAAAAAAATAATAATAATAATTTGCCTCAAACCAAAAAAAAGAAAGAAAAATCACATACAACTATTGAGCTCTAACATTTGTGTTGTTTTGGGGTTTTTTGTTTGCTTTTGAGTCTCACTTGGTCACCCTAAGTAGAGTGCTGTGACATCATAGTTTATAGCAATCTGAGTCTTTTGGGCTTGAGCAAACCTCTTGCCTCAGACTCCAGAGTAGCTGGGACTATATAAGCATGCCACACCTGTCTAATTTTTGTATTTTTAGTAGAAACAAGGTTTCACTCTTGCTCAGGCCGGTCTCAAACTACTAAGCTTAAGAGATATATCAGCCTTGGCCACCCAGAGTGCTAGGATTACAGGCATGAGCCGCCATACCCAATCTGAACTCTTAACATTTGAATTGAAAAAAATCAGTATGAATGTATGATATATCATCCTCTTTTAAAAAAAAAATTCCTAAAGAGATCGTATTTGGAAAATGAAAAGGAATAGCAATATTCATTCAAGATAATATAAAATTACTTGAGACAGTTTTAACTGTGACCTTTCAGATATATTAGTGCATAAACAAAAACATTTTTAAAACAGTAGAGCACTATTCAAAAGTGCCATAACCATCCATCACAGCAAACTGCAAAGTAGGCATTTTTATCTGCATTTTAATAGAATAATACTAAAGTTCAGAGAACTTAAATCACTTACTAGAGCCTTAATATAAATGGCAGAGTCGGCAATTACTGGAAATGCTTACGATGTTCCTTACCAAGGATAGGTCAGTGGAGGAAAATGACCTCACAAAGTTCTTTTTATGGGGCTCTGAGTATGAAGGCAGGAAGCCACCAGCAATTGAATTAGCTATTTCCTAGGAACCCAGAGCAGGAATTTTTTTTTTTTTAAGTTAATAGACTTTCATTTTTAGAGCCATTTAGCAGGAACCCACTAATTTATTTCCCTGGTCATATAATAATGAAGTAAATGTTTAATATCCACTTTTTTTTTTTTTTTTT